AAAAAAGTTTTAGTAAAAGGGGAGAAGAGGGTTGTTGGGGGTGGTTTGGTCATTTAGGAAAATGGATCACAGTAGAATGACAGGGAAAAGCTTAAATCTATAGGGGAAGGAAGGGGGGGTAGGGGTCGCCCCTCAAAAGGGTTGAGGGGGGGGTAAAGGGGTTTTGGGGGAAAGGGGGCTTGCTTCCGCAAGCTGCGTGGGTGTTAGATAGGAGTGAATGGAGACAATGGAAAATGGGACCTGACGATTTTGGGAGTGTGGCGGGTAATATTTATAAGGGGATTCGGGGAAACCGTTATTTTCATATAGTCGGACTTGATCCGGGAAAATGGAAGTCAATCCCTCTTTTAAAGGGGGGGTTTTTGGGATTTGCATTTTGGGGGGGATATTTGTTATCTTTATATGTTTTGCTTCTAGACTTTTGTATTCTGAGCACCTCTGAAAAAACAGTGTTTAAGGCGAGTGTGGGAAAGTGTTGAATGATGATGAAATTTTTTCTTTTTGGGGATTTTCTTTCTTTTTGGGGGTCACCCTGCCGGTGGGAGACGGCCGTTGTTGAAAAAAAAAAAAAATCGGGAAACCCGGTTTTTTTTCATATGTCGGCTTGGTCCGGGAAAGGGGAATTTACAACCCTGCATTTAAAGGAGGGTTTTGGGATATTGGCGTTTGGGGGGATATGTTGTTATCTTTATATTTTAGCTCTAGCTTTGTATTCGAACCTCTGCAAAAACAGTATAATGTCGAGTGTGGTAAAAGTGTTGAATGAGTGAAAGTATTTTTTTTTTGGGGGTTTTTTCTTTCTTTTTTGGGGGTACCCTGCCTGGTGGGAGACGGCCGACTTTTGAAAAAAAAAAAAAAATATATAAAATATATTTTTTATGTATAGTATATGTATAGTATGTTCCTAAAAATTTCTCGCCATTTTCCTAATACCCCCATTCCCCACTACTAACCCCCTACTCTGTTTTTAACTGACAAATCCATTCTTTCCCCAAAGGGCTTTTTTAACTTGTTTAACTCACTCCCAAAATTTTCCTTATTTTCTTAAAATTTTCTTGACAGTCCCTTTTCTATTTTTCACTGCTCTCCTTTTAAAATCTCTCACCACTTCTTCACCTTTTTTTTATCCCCATTATTCTACTCTTCGTATAACACGTTGCTTTGTAAAAACCCCCCATAAGCTACCCTTTTTCCCCCATTCCACCAAACACCCTTTCCTCCGCACCCAACGAAGGTGGGGAAAAAAAAATGCTGCACTTTAAAGGAAGGGTTTGGGATGTTGGCTGTTTGGAGTGACATCTAAACTGTTGTATCTGAGCACCTCTGCAAAGACAGTGATTATATGTGAATGATGGTGAAAGTACTTCTTTCTTTTTAGGGTCATCCTGCCTTGGTGGGGAAACAACCGACGAGTTAAAAAAAAAAATCCTCCTCCTAAGTGTGTGTGTGTATGGTAGTTAATCACCTACTAACACCTAATTCCTATTTTGTTTCTGATTCTTTTATAATAGTATACAATAACAAATTGGGGCTGCAACAAAAAAAAAAAAAATTCAAACTGGTCCAGTGGCTAACGCGACGGTCTGGAGTTTTGAGACTCTGTGACCGCGGGTTCAATCCCGCCCGTGGTATGGTTTGCAATGATTAGTTACTACTAATCCAGTCTTGAAGACTAGACAGACAGAAAAAGTAAGGCAATGCAGTACTGTATTAAAAAATACTGAAGCATTCCTAAACAATTATTTTGACATACCATGTGATTTACAGAAGACAGATCCAGATTTACCACCGCGTGCTTCCCAGAGAACACACCGGGAAAGAGAGCGTATGTAAAATTCATCTCCAAAAGGAAATACCATCTTGCGAAGCTGTCGAAAGTGCTCAGCAAAGAATATCTGTGAAATACCCGAAAGAAAGAAAAAACTCAATTCATTTTTCCTCCGTAACAATGCTAGAATGAGTACACAATACTAAGAGTGAGTGCCATTTTATATGATCAATAGAGCATTGTGTCATTCAATAAATTACTGAAAACATACGAAAGCACACTCTTCTGAGACTTACACATAGGTTATGACTTACAATCACTAAGATTAGAGACATATCTCATTGGCAATCTCTGGCTAGGAGTTTTAATAAGATTACAAAATTGTACCATTACTAGGCCAAGATAATTAATCTAGATGATGATTTTCAGTGATTTTACAAATAGGTTAGAAAAATATACGAGTTAAAATGGCTGAATTTAAGTAGGTCATGTAATTTTCTTCTTACCCAACAGCAAGAATTTAAGCGTTGCAAATCAAGTAGTCTCATGTTTGAGGGCAATGTGTAGTGTGAGTATTATGCAGTAGTAGGAAGACTGTGTGTAAAGTAATAATTATGTAAAAATTGATCAACTGTCTCACCTTACAATAGAACTTTGCATGTTGGTCATTCCACTGAAGTTCTATGTGGAGATCCTTAGTCATTTTATTTTTCTCTGAATCAGCAGTGGCTGTAGATATGCTGAATTCAGAATCTTCAGTATTTAAGTTTTCAGTGACTCCATCTGCTGGTAGTACAGACTCTTTATCTCCAGACCTGAAAATTGTGAAATCTCATATTAATGCATTGGTAAAAGTGCTACATTCTATGAAGAAAATACTGTATTAATGTGAGGTACTCCAGAAAAATTGCTAATTTTTGATAAAACAACTCCAAGAACAATGTACAATACTGAACAAGTCAAAATATGAAAAAAGAAAGCTACAGAGGGTTCCATACTTCTGGACATCCGAGTTGCCAACATCCACACCTACGAACAATGCACTTACAAATAACTTCAATTTTTGCAGAACCCACGCCACAAATGTGAACATTCAAACAAATTATATTTTTTCTCCATTTTTATCAAATCCTTTTAGTTTTTGTAAATATATATATGGGGTGCCAGGGGTAAATGTAAATGGGGAGCCTTTAATTGAGCTATGTGTAGAAAGAGATTTGGTAATAAGTAATACATATTTTATGAAAAAGAGGATAAATAAATATACAAGGTATGATGTAGCACGTAATGAAAGTAGTTTGTTAGATTATGTATTGGTGGATAAAAGGTTGATGGGTAGGCTCCAGGATGTACATGTTTATAGAGGGGCAATTGATATATCGGATCATTATTTAGTTGTAGCTACAGTTAGAGTAAGAGGTAGATGGGAAAAGAGGAAGGTGGCAACAACAAGTAAGAGGAAATTGAAAGTGTATAAACTAAGGGAGGAGGAAGTTCGGGTGAGATATAAGCGACTATTGGCAGAAAGGTGGGCTAGTGCAAAGATGAGTAGTGGGGGGGTTGAAGAGGTTGGAATAATTTTTAAAAATGCAGTATTAGAATGTGGAGCAGAAGTTTGTGGTTATAGGAGGGTGGGGGCAGGAGGAAAGAGGAGTGATTAGTGGAATGATGAAGTAAAGGGTGTGATAAAAGAGAAAAAGTTAGCTTATGAGAGGTTTTTACAAAGCAGAAGTGTTATAAGAAGAGCAGAGTATATGGAGAGTAAAAGAAAGGTGAAGAGAGTGGTGAGAGAGTGCAAAAGGAGAGCAGATGATAGAGTGGGAGAGGCACTGTCAAGAAATTTTAATGAAAATAAGAAAAAATTTTGGAGTGAGTTAAACAAGTTAAGAAAGCCTAGGGAAAGTATGGATTTGTCAGTGAAGAACAGAGTAGGGGAGTTAGTAGATGGGGAGAGTGAGGTATTAGGTAGATGGCGAGAATATTTTGAGGAACTTTTAAATGATGAGGAAGAAAGGGAGGCGGTAATTTCATGCACTGGTCAAGGAGGTATACCATCTTTTAGGAGTGAAGAAGAGCAAAATGTAAGTGTGGAGGAGGTACGTGAGGCATTACATAGAATGAAAGGGAATCAAATTAAATAGGGAATCAAATTAAAAATGGGAATTAACACAGTTACTTTTTGCTGATGATACTGTGCTTATGGGAGATTCTAAAGAAAAATTGCAAAGGTTAGTGGATGAGTTTGGGAAGGTGTGTAAAGGTAGAAAGTTGAAAGTGAACATAGAAAAGAGTAAGGTGATGAGGGTATCAAATGATTTAGATAAAGAAAAATTGGATATCAAATTGGGGAGGAGGAGTATGGAAGAAGTGAATGTTTTCAGATATTTGGGAGTTGACGTATCAGCAGATGGATTTATGAAGGATGAGGTTAATCATAGAATTGATGAGGGAAAAAAGGTGAGTTGTGCGTTGAGGAATATCTGGAGACAAAGAAAGTTATCTATGGAGGCAAAGAAGGGGAAAGTGTTTAAAGTATAGTTTTTGTTTCCCCCAAAACTTATATGGGTGTTTAAAGTTGGGTTTAAATGCGCAGCGAGTAGGGGTTGGAGGGGAGTGGGATGTCCTGTCTAAGGCCAATGTTTGGTGTAAAAAGTTATGCCGAAAATTTTGGGGTGTGGAAATTAGGAGAAAGGTGTGGAGCAAAACCCCCGGGGGGACCAGGGCCCCCTCTGAAACTTGTTTCAGGTTTGCCAAAAATTTTTTAAAAAAAAAAAAAAAAAAAAAAAAAAAATTTTTTTTTTATGGAAAAAAATAGAGAATCTTTTCCCGATCAAAAAGGGCACCAAAAAATGAAAAATTATTTATAAAATTACAGAATTATGCTTTTCGCAAAGGTTTTGCGGGCCGACAATGTCTACGAATTTGGGGGACTTTGCCCACTTTGACCTTATTTTTTGGGCCAAATTTCCGTGTACTTGTCGACAAAAAAACATAAAATTTGTTTTTCGCCCAGAACCCCCATTTTTTCTATCGAAAGAGTAGAAAAAAAACCCCCCATTTCCATTTCAACTATTTCCCAAAAAAAGGGTCAGAATTTAGAATTTTTCCCAATTTTTACACAAATTTCAAAAGATGCCCAAATTTTTTTAAAAGGGGTCCAGAATAAACAAGAAAGACTTCCTGGCACTAAAAAAACAAGTTCTCTGTCGTTTTTTTCCCCCTTCCCCAAAGGGCCCCCTTATTTTCTTTGGCTTTCCATTTTGAATTTTTTTTTTTTTACAAAAAAAAAAGAAAATTTAATGTTTATGGGGAAAACTATTTCTTTGTGTTTGAAAAATGGAAAAAATTTAAAATCGCCCCAAATTGTGAAAAAAATTTTTGGGGTCACCGGGTTTACGTGTATTGACGCTTGGGTGTTTTTTTTCTTTTGAAATTTGTTTTTTAAAAAACGAAAAAAATTTTTGCACTTTTTCTCAATTTCAAAATACTTTTTTTTTTTAAAAACCCTCAAAAAACATCCAATTTCTTTAAAATGTCTTCCCTTCTATAAAAAAGAACCAAGAAAACTAAAATACAACAAAATACCATATGAAAAACATGAACAAAGTCCCCCCCTTTTTTTAAACCAAAAAAAAAGTTTTTTTTTTTTTCATTTGACTGGTGGGTGCAGGGTTTTTTTTTTTTTCTGCGACAACTGGGCCACTTTGACCCTTTTTTTTAAAATGCAGGCCCACCAGTTTCTCTTTACTAGGGTTTTTAAGGGGGCTTGAATTTAGGCGTACTAGTTTCGTCAAAAAGGGGTGAAGTTGGGGTTTTTGAGGTTTGGTTTTTGGGCATTTTGGGGAGAAAGGATCAAAGGGAGAAGGCAAAGGAGAGCGGATCTGTAGGGGAAGGAACAGGGTAGGGGTCGTTTCCCCGAAAAGGTTGGGGGAGGGGGGGGGTAAAGGAGGTTTTTTTGGGCGAGGGGGCTTGGGCTTCCAGCAAAATGTGAGGGGCGTTTTGAAAAGGAAATGAATGGAGGGGCAAATGGTATTTGGGGGCCCGACCAAAACTTTTTGGAGTGTGGCGGGGGGAAAATTTAGTGAAGGATTTAAGGGGAAAAACCCTTTATTTTATTAGCCGGGCTTGAGTCCTGGAAATGGGGAAATACAAATGCCTCACTTTTTAAAAAGGGTTTAGGATATTTGGGAGTTTTGGGGGAAAGTTGTGTATTTTTTATACATACTACATATTCTAAAATGGGGGTTTTCTGAAACAACCCCTGCAAAAAAAAATGGGGGGGTTTTTTTGTGTAAAATGGGTGAAAAGGTTTTAAAAATGATTAAAGTGTTTTTTTTTTTTGGGGGTTTTTTTTTTCTTTTTGCAAACACCCTGCCTCGTTGGGGGAGACAGCTGACTTGTTGAAAAAAAAAAGAAATCTATATGAAGATTTCTAGGTTGACATAACACCCCATACTGCATGTTTTAGTTAACAAACATTAACATTCATCCCCAAGTTTACATATATACAGTAAGTCATATTTTTTATTATGTGATTCAGTGTTGCAAACTGGCAACCAGAAATTATTTCCCAATAAACAAGCATAACTGATCAGGAATATCATGATGCATTAATGGTATCAATAATGTCAATACATTTATTGTATAACAGTATGTGCTACAAGAACCACCTTGCTAATACTGTACAAAAAAGTTAAAACATATTCTTACCTACTAATTACTGCACCTTCTTTTTGAATTTCTTTAAGCCTCTTCTTGAGTGCTGTCAGTTGTTTGTCATACTCTTGAGAGGCCAGAGCATGAGCAATAATAGAAGAAGGTTCTTCTCCATATACAACTATTGGAATCTTCACCTCTGGCATTAACAGGTAGTGTTCATTAGCACCAAATGGAGACTGTTGGCAGAAGACAAATATATTTTGTGTGTTTTACAAGCTACAATAATCAAACATACTATATAGGAGAGCCCCTTATATACAGCACCTCTTTTCGGTGTTCCACATTTTTGTTGGCTTCAAACTGAGCCATTGTTCATTGTGTTCCACCTGCGAGCAATTGTCACTGGCAGGTGAAACAATGACTCATTTGAAAGCCAATGAAAACATGGAACACCAAAGAGAGGTGCTGTATATGCAGAGTCCTCCTGTACATTATTTTTTAACATTATATAATAAACATTTTCTACCAAAGCAAGATAGCTCCAAGAAGGAACACCTATTCACCATAACTTATTTCATAGCCTTTTTCAGAATACACTGTTCTGTCTCCTTTCCTCCTGCAGAGGAATTTAAGAATCAAAGTCAAAATGCCTTATATACCCAAGACACGTGGTATATGATCTTGTTGCTCCCTCCCTTTTCTAATGCAGCAATGTGCCAGTCTCTCCATATACAACCTCAAATCATTATGCCAATAAGTCAATCACTGCTGGCGAGTGTTCCTAACTGAGCTTTTATCTTGAAGCACAGGTGGTGTTTAACTAATTACAGAACAGTGCTGGTGCTCGCAACTTTGTTTACACACTGCTGATGCATGTATATTATTATAATCATGGGGAAGTGCTAAATTCCAATGTCATCACACCTGGGAACAAAGAGAGGGTAGCACCAATTCTAGGACAAAGCCTTCACCAGCATCAAGGATCTCCTTGAATGTTGGTTTATGTGTAGTACTTCCATTTATATACAGTAATGTAATACTATACTTGCTATGATTTCAGTATTTTTTTAAAATTTGTATTTACAGATTTGAAAAAA